ATGGCATTCGTTCCGACAAATATCGTTCTAGAGTTGACTGTCCGAGCGTGTAGGCATGACTTTTTTACACACCTACAGTAGATGGCCTAACTGCCGAAGTGTCGGAATTTACGAATGCGTGCTAATCACTCACAAGCCGATACCAATCCATGAATTAAATATGTATATTAATAAAAACAGCTTCAAGGTAATTCGAAGCGGAAACGAAACCTTAGCAGTAATATTGCGTTGTTTAGAAAAACCAAATTTTTCGGAAATGCAGATATCTACCTGACATATGAGGATAAGGCTCACACTAGTGCTAACAAATACCGGCCCGTTAGTATCGCTTGCATCTGCTTTAAAATAATGGAAACCGCACTTCAGAAGGCAACAATGAAGTTAATGGAGGGGGACCACTTACTCTCAGGGTTCCAGCATGGTTTCAGAAGAACCGCTCATGCCTTTCTAATTTATTGCCCTCGACCGAGCAGTGGGTTCGAGCACTGGACGAGGACGAACGAATAATTACTGAATTGCTCACGGTGCAGCATTATGAGTGGAGGTCTGGTAAGCCTCTCTATGTGCGCTAAATGAGAAAAGGACAAGTCAATTTCTCCCGCCATGGTACACTTTCATATCAGCAATCAAGGACTTTATCGCAAACCAAAACTCTAACTAAGCGCTCTCTAGCGACCTGTCTTCCATACTTTGATTGGTCGGGCTCTCCAGGCGTGCAAACAGTCCCGTCCGTTCTGCCGCCTAGACTGTTACGTCACACGATCTCCACGTCAGCACCGCCCTCAGTCCTCCCCTGCAGTTGCCCACGGCGCTGCGTTCTCCAGCGGTTGTTTATTTGGCATGGCAGTGGCGTCTCACCATCCAGACAGGTCACTGCCTTGAATAAGGAGACACGATCGCTGGGACAGGAGCTTTATTAGCCCGACGTTTCGGATTCCTGCTCGGACCCATCATCAGAGACAAAAGCAGATAAGGATGGTTCATGCATATGCGGCTGCAGTATTTATAGGATGCAGTCGCCATGCTACCCATACCCAAGAATATTCAAGGCTCTCCCCTTTCATCAGGGACCGTTGCACTTGGTGTGATGACTGTTTGCTGGTCGACATTCGTGTCGTTAATTGATGCAATTACATCACGTGTGTTGGATGTTGGTGTGATGAGTGCTCGACCATCTGACCCACCGACCCTGCCGTTGGGAAAAGTGTTTACCTGTGCGCTCCCCGCGTGGCCAATTACTCCGCCCTGGCGAAGTCTCAGCACCGAGTATGGAAGGCGAAGGTCAGTGCACTTGGTAATGGACTGGGAACCAGTAAACCATGATTCAGGTGGCTCCCGGCTCGCGCGGTTGTCACCTCTAACGAGAATTTCAGCCTCGTCAAATTTGAATGTGTGGCCGGATCTCGTCGAATGAGCCGCAACTTGAGAGCTCGCGTCATTTCTGCGCACCGCCGCAGCGTGCTCGACCATTCACGTTCGGAGTTGTCTTCCGGTTTCTCCGACGTAGTTGCTTTGTCCGCAACTGCACCAGATCCGATAAACGACTCCAGACGTTTCTAGCTGTGGCAGTGGGTCTTTCAGTTTCATGATCAGACGCCTGACGGCTGCCTCCGGTTTGTGTGCAACTGCCACCCCAAGTGAGGCGAAAAGGCGTCCGACAGCTTCCGAAACGTTCTTGACAAACGGAAACGCTCGACAAACTTTGATGTCAGTGCGGTTAGGCCCTTCGTCCCTTTTGCGTATGCACCGGTTGACGAAGTTGCGCGGGTAGGCATTGGCTTTGAAGGCCCGTCGGAGGTATTGTAGTTCGGCAATCTTGTTTTCCGGCCCATTGCAACGCGTTTCAACACGCCGACAGAGCGTCCTTACAGAACGGCGTTTGTGACTGACTGGGTGGTTACTGTTGAGGTTCAGTACTTGCGTCGTACTTGTCGATTTCCTGAACACTTTGGTTTTTAGTCCACCACAATCTTTGCGGCATACGCCGACATCCAGGAAGGCCAGCTGGTTGTTATCTTCCCTCTCCATCATAAATTGTATGTCCAGGAAGAGCGCATTCAGATGTTCGTGAATGCCAGCAGTTGATACTGGTCGATAACGACGAAGTTATCATCCGCATACCGGGCCCAGAGCTTCGGTCTGTGGTGTTGGAAGACCAGATACCCTAACCGTTGCAAGACCGCCTCGGCGATAAATCCCCAAATCGGCGAACCCATTGGTGTGCCCTTCACCTGTTTGTAGATTGCCCTGTCGAACGTGAAGTACGTCCTGAGACAGAACTGCAGGAGCTGAAGTACTTGGGCGTGTCGAAGACGGTCCTTCATTTCATCGTATTTGCTTTGTAGAAGCAGTTCGATTGTCTCGATCGCCAGGTCCTGGGGAACAGAAGTAAAAAGCGATGTATCATCAAAAGATACCATGACCTCATTTGGATGGAGGCTTATCCCTTTGAGTTTCTCCAGGAATTCTGCTGACGAAAAGACCGTGGTGTCTGACTCAGCGGTCAGGAACTTGAAACGCCGGAACAGCCACTTAGTCAGTCCGTACGTTGGAGTACCTTTGAGCGACACGATAGGTCGGGGAGGAGCGCCGTCTTTGTGCACCTTAGGGAGGCCATAGAATCGGGCCAAAGCCGTATCTTGGGGTCTCGCCATGCGTCTGTCGGTCGGTGTTATTGCACCTGAGTTCTTCAAGGCCAACAACGTAGCATTAATTTCGCGTGTCAGCGCCTTTAAAGTGTTCGTTGCACATGGGACATAGAACTGTCGGTCCTCCAGTAAACATTTGGCTTTTTGAAGGTAGTCTGTCCTGTCCAGTACAACTGTGGCGCGTCCTTTGTCCGCTGGTACGATGACCAGGCCTTTGTCGGCCTTGATTTCTCTAAGCGCATCGAGTTTGACCTTGGAAAGCACTTCCCGCGGCCTGTGGGTCATTAGGAGAGACGAAACTTGGTGTCGGATGTGGTTCTTTGTCTCCTCCGTTGTCTCCGTCTGACTAAGGATTGATTCCACTGCTGCAATCATGTTAACAGTTTTGGCGTCAGTCGTGTTGAATGAAGCTTCGTGCCTTAAAACCTGCATCTGATCCTTCGTCAGCTCCTTTGACGACAGGTTGTGCACCAGTTTGTCGTTTCTGGGCGACGTTGGATTGGGCAGCTTTCGGAATTTGTTCTCCAGTGCTGCGTCGCGTATCACTCGCTGTTCGCGGGCTTGTTCGGTCACCCTCCGGGTTCGAGCAGGAATCCGAAACGTCGAGTTAATAAAGCTCTTGTCCCAGCGATCGTGTCTCCTTCTTCAAGACTGCTTCCTTGGACTCGTCTCTTGACTTCTATTGGCAAGGTCACTCCCTTGTTGTACCCCGTCCTGGTTGCACAATTGACTTATATTATATGTATTCTCAGTTCCAATCACTTCACATTATACCTTGTTGCCTACCTAACGTTTCTTCTCCCCTTGCATATGGATGAGTATTGTGACATGTTAACGGTTCTATTCAGATCGGTCTTCGCCAGGATCCCGTCCCAGTGCTTCGCTTCCTCGGTGTGTGCTATCTCCGAGGTCCTCGGCCGCTGCAGACTTATCCCAGTGCTCTTTAGTCATGTTTGTCATATTTTATGCTCAACAAGCCTAATTATGCATTGAAGGGGCCTCCAAAGCTGCTGCCCGTGACTTGCGCCCAACCTCAGCCGGGAACCTTGGCGTGCAACTGAATAGTGCAAACCCACAATAAACCGACACCGCGCAACTTCGTGCAATAAAGGCTTCTGGGAAAAATACGGATCACAGAGGCCAAAGCAGGACTGCGGACTAGCAGTTTGACTCTGTCGCCAACAATCTCTAGTAGCAATTTGAAATTAGACGTGCCTTTCGAGTGGCAGCAAGAAACAGCAACCGCGTGAGCGGGAAGCGCAGCCGCGCGACAGAAAACGGAAACGTGGATGGTAAAAACGGAGGGAAACTCAGTGCACAAATCTCTCAACTAGCAATGAGAGAGCATGCAAAATTGCACCATCTCTCCAATGTTGGAAAGTGAGAAGCCTGAAAGAGAGCACTTCGCTCTAATTTAATTTAAATGGTGAGCCTTGGTGGCAGAAAAGGTTAATGTACTTCCCATGTCTCCGATGAGTTGGGAAATGGGCATGGAAGAGGCGGGCACAGAGGAAGTAATGACGAGTTTTGATGAAGTCTGCAACATCAATGCCGTATCTAGCATCCATCAGTAGACGGTCAAACATTGCAATGAAATGGGGAAGTTCACGAGATTCAGGGTAATTTGTTCGCAGCCAGGCCAACGGGTCTGCGTAGAAGAGGTCGGCCTCATCAACATAACCTGCCGGATCCTCGCCAGTCAACGCAGAAAGATTCGGATCACAGGCAAGGAGACGTAGTGAAATATTGCGGTGAAGGTAGCTAAACCGAAGGTAAACGTAGAGAGCATTAGTCATCTAAAGTTTGTCAGAAAAGAACGAAAACACAAATACTTCACGCATAACCATAGATGAATACAGTGTTACAGAATGGATTCATAAGCCGGGATTCAGGTCATAGGGTCTGATAAACTTTTATCCCCACAAAATACAAATCGGCCCTACCTAACTGCCGATAGGGGCTCTGCAGGCCTGCTTTCCGCAATGAAACACTAAGACGTGGATTTAACTAGTAGTACTAAACGCGTTTACAGAAAGCTCAGATTCTGTCTGTGGTTGCCTCTGCAGATGGAAGTTGGGAAGATAAAATACACAGCGACGATGCCTTCGCATCGTAGAGCTCGCCTGTTGGCCTGTACCAGCAGTTCAAAACCAGTGCCCAATGCAAAGGGCCCACAACATCGTGACTGGTGCGCAAGTTGAGCCGCCTTCCATGTTCAGCAGTCCAGAATGCCAGAAGATGGTTTAGCGGAAGACGACAAATTGTGAAGTAAATGTTTTACAACAGTCAAGAGGAAACTACGATCGCCTGAACGACAATCGCATTCGCCTGAATTTTCTGACATCGTGCAGTGGTAGGCTGGGGAAAATGAAGCGGTACTCCTTGTGGGCGAGACAACTGTCAAATAAATTGCACTGTTAATAGACACTACTAACTGAAAGGAAGTAGCAATTTTTATGGAAATTGTGAAATAAAGGTTTTTCTACAGTCAGGAAGAACCTACGATCGCCTAAACGACAATTGCATCAGCCTGAATTTTCGGACTCATGCAAGGGCTTATCTTCAGAGACAGTGGAAGAATGACAACAGTAATCATAACAATCACTCAGTAGCGCGCAAAAGTGGCTGTGTTAGGTGCTCATCCAAAGAGTAAAAACGCGCTGCAGCGAACCGGGGCAACTAATAAAGGAACACCGGCACCTATGGGGTTAATTAGCATGAAACAACTACCCAAATACTGCTTTCGTGCGTACCCCCGAGAGACACGAAGGAGAGGACCACCAACATTTCGGCTTTCAAAAGAGACAACCTATTGTCGCAGAATCTCGCTTGGACGTCGTCCATCGTCCGGCAGCTACCGTGTGTACCAGGATAATGCAGATGAAGGACCGACTGGACGTGGGTGAACAGTCGGGTGTGGTCTACCAGACACCCTGCCATGACTGTTCTCGTCACTATACATGACAGGCTACAAGAAGGCCCGGTTCACGAATAAGCGAGCATGAACGATTAGTTCGCAGAAGCATGGCGACCGCATCCCCTTGTTCATGAACTACCTGTATCTGCTATGGTCCCTGAGGATGGGTTCGAGCAGCAATCCGAAACATTAGGCGAATAAAGCTGTTGTTCCAGCGATCGTATCTCCTCCTTCAGGACCAAAAAATTGCCCATGCTTTATCGATTTTTCAGACTCCGAGGATGGACTCCTGTGCAAACGGGAAAATTTCGGCGATCTTGTGTTCTGCATTGAAAGAATGGCCTGGGGCCTTCATATTCACTTACACTTGAAATAGTGTTTTACTGATAAACATTGCGCTGTTGTTCATATTTATTTTTCATTCCTTACATAGCGGGTAAATCAACCCTTCGCGCTATATCACCGGCTCGTGGAATTTGACGGGCTGGTGTTTGAAACATTAGGTTATTATGCATTTACTCAGCAAAGTAAGACCGGAAAGCAGCGACTCGTACCTTTACGAGCCCCACTATAGTTAAAAAACAGTCCGTAGTGTGCCCGAGATCTGGTTCCGTTTCCGTATTTCCCATTGCGTTACAACAATCGACGTAATGAGTGGTGCGCTTCTGCTTTCGACTTCTTAGTCAATCTGATACAGACGTCAAGGACGAATTGTACGCCCGCCTAGTCGTTCCGAAGCGGCCGACAAGCACCCAGAAAGAGTTCGAAAGACCACAGTCACGGTTGGGGAGTCACCTTTTCGTTTTTAAGAACCCCAAACGCTCGTGTTTAGCTTATTGGAAAAATTAACAGCAAAAAATCGCAAAACGATTCCTAAGAAGTCTGCTCTGGTCTACGTGAGGGAGTGAACGAAATGAATGAATGGTAAATTACGCGAACATCAAACTAAATTTCTCATCCATGTAATGATTTACATTTCTAACATGTTTAGAGAGAGAGGGCTTTTAAAAGTGAACTGACCTAGTATACGGAGTAGTGTGACAGGGCATGAGAAACAGGGCTCGCACTTGGTCATTCGGTCCAGGAGTTTCCCCGTTCATATAAAAGAGTGGTGCAGCCGAGGGCCAGTTATTCCGATCTCCCTGGCTACCCAGTAGCCCCATCAACTCCGTCGGGCCCCGCTGGTGCACCAGGCAGGTGTACATAGCAAGAGGCACATGGCTAGCGACCAGAAAGACTGCAAGGGCGGTCTTTGGTGAAAACACACAGAAGACGGTTTCCCGACCACTGCGATCCAGTGCATTTGATGCGCACACCAAGCCGCGACCAGTGAAGTAGTGGAGCAGTGGTAGGATGGGGAAAATGAAGCGGTACTCCTTGTGGGAGAGACAACTGCGAAATAAATTGCAACGTTAATGGGCACTACTAACTTAAAAAAGTAGCCATTTTATGGTAATTCCACTTCGTTATCACCTGTAAACCAGCAGTGTCCACGCGACAACGGAGCCGAAAAACTTGGATATTGAATGATGTAGCCGGGCTTCTTTCGCTGTCATTCTGGGCCTCCAAGATGAGAAGACATTCAAGCCACCACCGGTATGAGTGCCCGTAAAGTCGATGATAAAACCAACAACGAAAAATGGAGCCGAGGAAAAAAGCATGGTAGGCAGGCCGTTTGTCAGGTACCAGTGCCATGGCTCGACGCCGTAGAAATTCGCGCCATTTGTGAGAAGGTTAAATCGTAGAAAGTTGAGCTGATGTAAAGTCCATCGTCCGAAGGCGATGCGGTCGGAAACAATGGAAATTAGAAGACAGGAAATCGCAATGGCTGTGTACAGGCCAAATGTGCGGAGAGGTCGGGAATTCGATGAAGAACTAGGGGAAAATAAGAACTGAAAATTGTATGAGAACATGACGCAGGTGTATGAAAGCTCTCGCTAAGACAGTAAATGAGGTTAAAAAGCATCAATCTAAATGAGGAAAATGTGGCGGTGTGAAACGATAGAAACCTTCCAAGACGCATTTTCACCCAATAAATGAAAATTTTAGCCATACATTGTCGCGACACATGTGTCATCCCAAACTGTCACGCTCCGGTCTGAAGATTATGTCGGCCAGTTTAGTGGCAGATAATAATTAAAGAAGAGAGAAATGGATGCGAATTGCGAATAAAGTAGGCGAAAGCATGTCAACGAATGAATATTCCCCCAACGCCAAATACGTATGTTTCTGACTCCACTTTAACAGAATATTTCGCATAAGATAGGTCCATTACTTTGAGCAAATAAGGTGGTTGTCGTCAGCAAGCTTTGGAGAAACATATAACGGGACTAAGGGGCACTTAGTATTACGCACTTCATTAAAACTCCATGCTCATATTTGAGAGTACACGTTTGTTTCAACGTCGACTGAGTAACCCCCTTCATTTAACAAGGAGTTCGATGGTGGCCAATATTTCATGCATTCTTCATCCTGTGGAAAACATATGCTGGGGCACTAAATCTATAAATTTAATTAACATTTGGCCGAACCTACCACAATGCAACCCGTCCTCAGTTCAGTTAGCTGAGACATTTTGGTACGAAAATTAGCGACCGAGGTGTCAGTGCAGTTGCCGCGAGGGGAAGAGGCGCAACTAGCGTACAGGGCATGCAGAGCAGGAAACGTAACCTCATGGCTAGTCAGTGTACACAGGCCTGCATAAATCCACAAAAAGCCCACTGGTCGCGCAACCAGGATAGAAATTTTGCGGTGCATAAGTTAAACACGCTACTGTATTCTGTTAAGTAGCGGTGTACGTTTCGAAATATAAACTTACAACTCACACACCAGATGGAACAGACATACTGGGGCCCATATGAGTGCGGCGGTGGGGCGCAGGATAGCGCATACACACACCAGCAAAATAAAGCAATATGTCGACCTTTTCTTTAGTGACACGAACGACGACCAGGGATAGAAGTTGAATGCAGCCGTAGTCAGCGCCCATTCTAAGTTGTTCGCCAGGCTTCGAGGACCGCAAAATGCCGTAAACCAACTGGTGCACTGGGCGATGAGAGTCCACTAAAAAGGTGTATTCGGGCAAAATTTTGCGGTTAGAAAACGGCGACACTTCAAAAACAACTGGTATAACAAACGCAACTAACACAAGGGAAAACCTCTCAGGAAGGCAAAACGACCTTTGCAGTGGCTGGACCAGCAAGTAGACGAGCGAGGCAGTAGAGATTGTAGTCTGCGACCGCGGCTAAAATTCCGTGTAGGAGGCGCGGCAGGTAGATTATAGCGAGTCTGGAATCGAGACCGACGGTCGCCAGCAGCTTATACAGACCAGCAAAGATCAGGGGATGGAGCGGCGAACGGATCGCTGTAGAGTTCCACCACTCCCAGGTGAGGGCTCCGTACCTAAACAGGGCATCGGAAGTTCTGCTTAAAACCGCATAGGTAAAAAGTCTACTGTGTAAACTCCCTCTATTGAGCTAACTGACAATGTGTCTCGTTCGAAAATGTTTATTATTGAAGGTGGTTAGGGGGAGAAAACTGCTAAAACGCACCCGAAGGCCCAACGGTGTGCCACTTCTACTGACTGCCAGTATTCATCGGGTACGAAGGTTGTACGAATGACGAGGGCGTTAAAAAGTCGAAAGAGGATAAGCAGAGGCAAAAGCAGGCTTGGAGGTGCAGTGGATGATTCTAAAACAGGAGAAAAATGAAACAGGTGCTACCAAGGCGGATAAGTGGGAGTCGGTTGGGCACGGTAATATGAGCCGGCCGTATTGAAGGTGGCTTTGCCGTAAATTTCAAAGGGGGAAGGCTATAATTATGGCAAGAATGGTTAGGGTTAAAGTTAAGACACGGGAATAGGTACCCTTCCTAGAATTTAGCGTGAGGTGACCTGCGATACGGGGTCCACACTCCCGTGACCGATCGGGAAATGAGGCGGTCGTTTCTGGCGTGTTTGCCATGATCAGCAAGCCATACCCCCAAACAGAGGCCAGGAATCCACAAGTCCAGCCCGAATGAAGGACGAAATAGGGGCTAGGTGAATGAACGCTACCTCCTCCCCTCCTATAAGGCCACACATATCCAGCAGCAAGAAAACTAATAGAACGAATAGGAGGCGAAAGGTGAGCATCACTTAATTAGTCAACTCCCGTGTTGCCTCCTCATTACTGGCAGGAAATATTCATGGTCGGTTTAAACAAAAAGAGCCTTTAATTCGAAAAGTGAATTTAAGGATCTAGGATCTGTGGTTTAGAGTCCACATTTGCAGACACAAAGCATTTACGATAATACCAGAATGAACTCACGCATTTGCGATTTGTCAGCACCGTCGGATTCAGCATCCTTTATCTGTAAAACAGTCCGCAAATTGCTTTTGCCAGACATACAGGGCTATAACTAGAAGAGAAACGCATGTGAGAAATCGCGGTTGGGAAAGACTGTCGATAAAATAGCCGTAGAACAAGGACGGGATGTCTCGCACAAGGAGAATAGTCAAAATGTGAAGAAATACAATAGAAAGTCTAACGAAAACGAAACTTCAAATACAACGGCATAGGGGTTAATTTAAAAAACATAGCTGGAAAATCCAAGCGACTCAAACCCGAAATCCATCGACCGGCAACAGACTCTAAAGCACATATTTAACACTCCAAACTGTTCAGGTATAAATCAAGAGGTCGCAGCCGCTGCTGGTGAGAAAAGGGCATCAGCTGATGCGTTCACTGAACGCAGTTTCAACCCGCAAGTGATCTAATTAGACTCCCGTCTTTGCTTACACTAGCGCCCCCTTTGACGAATAGTACTACTGACAGTGAAACAGCGACCCTGTGGCCTTACTTGTCCCCGATTCTCCTGCTGTAGCACCTCACATGGATAACCTAACACTTGCGGCCTTACACGGACGACAGACTTGATGTTGCCAAAAAGAACAAACTGGAAAAACGTCCCAAAAATCTCATTTTCGCCTCTCTAGTAGTAGAAGTCGCACTAGGAGGGAGAGCTGACAGAAAACTCCCTTTAGTAATATTCCTCGCATAGTAAAAGACTGAGAGATCATCACGCACATCAGCTCATCTCAAAGGGGCATATGGAGAGGTCAATCTGCAGTGTGTGTGTGACTAAATATACCATCCTTCACAAGCAGAATCCCGTCAACTGTGTACTTGGCAGAGCTATATGGCAAGGGTGGACGGGCAGTTTGGCTTTGTTAGCCATTGCGCCCTAGGCCACCCACAGATCGGCACCACCACCACCACCACCACCACCACCTACACCACCACCACCACCACGCCGTTTGGACGGACATTTCGCAGTCTTTAAATATCTAACAATTACAGGCTTTTTAAAATTACAAGCTCTCCTTTCAGAGTATACAATTTGAAAAAAACATTTTACATTCAAAAGACCACGGTGAAGGCCATTTATGTGCATGTTTTGCATAAAATGGGTTCGAATCTATAGGGCATCGCAAATCAATAGCAAAAAGTACACTACCTAATATGATCATTTCTAGCGAATTTGATAGCTACAGACAGCCAAAAAAGAGAGGATTAAAGAATAAGCATACTGATATGACCCAAGCGTCTTCATAATTCATATTCCCATAACATCTAAGCGTTCTCTTCTAATCAAAAACACGTTTAAGATTTGAAGCCAAGATTTCACAAGATACAGTAGGTGGGCGAACTCATGAAATGTCAACCGAAATTCCGAAATGCGTTTTCGTTTCGAAAAGATTGATAAAGTAAAGTTGGAGAACTAATCATCAAGCAGCATAATTATATTATAATTCACTTACACCAGGACGCTGTATTTTGAACGAACTTCTTTGAGGCAGCATGCAAAAGCTATACTCCGTAAAAATGACTACTTAAATTGCATGCATGTTTCTCATTGATTTTCGATACCCTTAAAAATTCAGTTAAATTTCATGGAAAGCGTGCATAAAAATATTCATTCTTTCGCTCATTCGGTAGAAAATTATGTCTTATTCCAACTTTATGCTCGAAGGAAGGGTGTGATTCGGTTTTATAGAAGTTTCTAATTGTGAGATTTTTTAATATCGTGAAACGCCCGTTCAAAAAACATCGTGACTGATGTTGCTAGTAAAATTTACAGTATGGCTCAAATTCACTGCTAAATTTTATGAACCCCATATGGTTCCCTCTTAATACGGTTGAGAAATGTATGGTTTTCCGTACGCGGAAATTACACGGCTTGTAGTTTGGAAACCCTGAATGCAGGCGTAACGGAAGGTCGGGTTCAACATTATTCGGGAATTGGAAAAGATGTAAAAACCCAATTATACCCTTCCTTTGGGCACAAAATTTAAAGAAGACGTAATTTTATACCGAATGAGTAGCAGAATGAATATTTTTATGCATACTTTCTACGAAATACAATTGAATATTTGAGAGCATGCTACTTAAGTAGTCATTTTTTTACAGCGTGTGGTTTTTGCATGCCGCCGGAAGGATGTTCGTTCGAAAGGAAGCATCCCGAGGTAACGGACTTATTATAGAATTATGCTGCATGATGATCAGCCTCACAACCCTACTTAATTAATCTTGTCGAGACGAAAATGCATTTCAGAATGTCGGCTAACATTTTATGAGTTAGCACACCTACTGTAGTTGGTGGAGAGGCACAATCCTATTTCATGCCGTTAGTTACGGCGAAGGTATCTGAGGTCTATCCGTTGACGAGATCGCACGCCTGAATGCCATCGTAGAATCGCCTAACTTTGGCCATTAGCATCTCTGGTTGGCCAATTCCTCGTCTGTGAACACTTCACTTTGAGTTGGCCAGCAGCGAAGACGACCTTGGTGGCTACACGTTGGTAATGAAGCTAGCATTGCGGCGCCGGCAGGTGTTATTTTTACGGATGAGAGTTCAGGCAGTTAACTGTGATTTTTCCAAAACCATAGAGTGAATAGGTTTTACAAGGATAGTGGCAAAATGACAGCCTACATTCCATTTTCAAAGGTGAACAACGGCCGCATTCTCAAAAGTCTGGGGGAATTTTTCCTTACATCCTCTAAAATAGGCGAGTCAACGTTTTCAGTGGTTGATATCCACCATACTTACCATCGCGTCTGTGCTCCGAGCTTTTCCGCTCGATGTTGACGAAGTAAGTAATTTCTGTGCGTTAACCATGAGTATGAAGACAAGTTCAGACAACAGTCTCGAAAATGTACGAAATGAGCGATTTCGCTAGCCGAAAAATGGGACCTTGTAGATTTGCCGTTCTACACTATAAGCCTGTCTAGTAATTCCTGAAGATAACCGTTTTATACTTTTTAGTTGGAAACAATCCCTGACATCGACTTGAAGCAGTCTGTTGATCACATTATCTCAGAACGGATATAGTTAACTGTAGTTATTTTAAAAGTTAACGGCCCGGGGTTACGGTGCGTGGGACTTCTCAGACGGCAGCGTGGTTCTATCACAGCTGAACGGCGGTGAATATCCGATAATTGAAGACCTCAGAAGGTGACAGAAAAAGCCCTTATTTTGTTTCTGATCAACGCACCCCCAGAATTCCGGTGCTCTGCGGTTCAACCAAATATTTCGTTTCCCGAAAGTTCTTTAGCAAATTCTCAACGACACGCCGTCGAAAGTGCTTTCGCCAGAAGGGACCCTGATGCTTACCCACGCTCAGTGAATTCGGTTCGTCCTCTACGAGAACAAACACTGGATCTCCGTGTGCTTCTAGTTGAACCAATCCTAGCTAAGTCAGGACAAATGGTGAGGACGTGGAACGCAGCGGCCAAGCTAGCACTAGGGCCACATAAACGCATGCTATAAAATATGTGGTCCCTCCCTACTGACAGACAAATCCACCGGGTGGGAGACAGGTCGATCACCGCCATTCGCTTTGGCGGTTGCCCGGGTGCTGCCGTTGCACCGAAAGCAACTTCGAGGTCTAAATGAGAGTTCTGTGACAGATGAAGACGCTGCGAAGTGGCCACATCATTCATTACATCAGGTTAGCCACCAGTCCCTAAAACAGAGAACATCGAATACACCCTACTGGTGTAAACATCAATCACCCAAACGCCCCTTTACGGGCCAGAAAAGACCAGATTTTGTGCGCCATCCATGAGTCTGGCGAAGTGTAGCTTTGAAAATTTACGGGATAGGCCGTCTCACAGGCCCAGAAGAAATTACATAATTTCAAGTAAACGCCGGGAAATTGGGCCTTGACGATTCACTGTTTCGCACTATGATCCCACCTAGTGATGCTCCATCATGAGTGCATTCTACTTCCTAGTAGGAAACAACTCTCGACATCATGAACCACTGAATTTTTTATCAGGATAAAAAGTCAGTCTGAAGAAAGCTCAGTCTCTATACGGCTTTAATGTCATCGCTCTTGTTCTGAGGGTGCCGGTTTGGTTTGCTTCAGTCTTTCGACCTCGACTAGAGTAAGTTAGACCTGGGCAATAGCATCTACCCCGTGGTCGAGAACCTTACCACTGCGTGCAGACTCTGATAGATCCATCTGCTAAAATTTAGGAGACAGACCCCCAATGAATCCGCCAGTCTCCCCATATATAGCGAATCCTATCATTTAGAAATCAAAAGAGACCTTTATCTCGACAGATGTCGAGACAGGTATCGGCGTTACATCGGTGACACTTTTAACTGAAGACTGAACAGGTCACCTACTTCCTACATGTGGTAAACTCCATTAGCCCTAACATTCAATTCGCGGCTGAATACGAGGCAGGTACTGGAGAACCCGCATTCCTGAACTACCTACCGCACAGATCCCATAATGGTCTACTGGGGACGACTGTACGCCGAAAATCAGCTAACAGTTGTCCATAATCGACGTATGGCTCTTACCTATGAACGAGGAGCTGTCACGCCCCTCTTCATATGAGCTGCGAAGTTGCGCATTAATTTCAAAGATGTGAGAGCAAGGCCCGATTGATCGATTATAGTTAACCATACAAGATAGGTGTGACGCGATAAGAGTAATGGCTTGGAAAGCTGCAATAACTCCATATTAATGTGGCCTTTATGGCACTCTCATGCACCTGAGACCCAAGCTGCCCTTACAGGAGCATGGTAAATGCTGCCGGGCCCAGGTCGCGTGCGACAAGCGCAGACGAATTGTTTCGCTTTGTCAACCACTGTGTCCGAGCTCTTGAAGCAAGTTGAACAAGAGAGAGGGTGAAGTGGGTGCTGTGCAAGTCTGCCTCATACCACCCGTGGACGTCACCGCTCGCAACAGTCAAACTGGCGTACATAGAGCAGCAGTCTGGGCTGATTTGTCCCAACATGTCGTACCTCTTTATGCACCTCAGCTAAGTGAACCAGTCGCTTAATCGAGCCAAAACTTCCTGACTCAATGTAGTCTCACATACTGGGAATCCACGGTATATGCATTGCCCTCTATATCAAAATGTGTGCGCGAAGCGTATGCACGGGCCATGCTAGTCAGTCATACTGGCAACCGTATATCAGTTCAAAGTTATTGAAAATTTCCGTGGTATTCAGAACAACTTGGGAGAATGGCCGTTAAGGGACGGCTAAATTAAAAGCGTTAAAGCGAAAGGCTGTCAAGACGGCATTTGACGAAGGAGTAGAAAGAGCCGAAAGAGCAGGATGGACCAAATGGGCGCAGTCGCCGATAAGGAAGCGCGCGGACAGCAAGACCACATGGTCGCACATTAACGTTAACAACACCGCCAGGTATTTGTTAAGGCGGACAAAACGGGAATGAACCAAACCAACGCTTGTTTTTTTGAGAAGAAGACGAATCCTTCGCAGCAGCGTTTATTTTGTACAGAAAATATTCCAAAAGGAGGCATTTACAAAACGAGAACGTTCTCCTACAGCTCAATATTGACCTTCCGCAGAGCGTCCACACACCAGGCTGGCGGGGAATCGAACTCATACTCAACTGCGTTGTTCTCCGACTGGTCTCCGGAGCTAACCGGGGGTCGGCAACGGAGTTGGAAGAAATTACGGATAAACTGAGGCAGACGGTCCTCCTTGATGGCCTCACGCAAGGACTTCATGAGACCGAATAGGTAGGTGAGATTGTGAAGAGTTACGTAGGAGGCAGCGTTGGATTGGCGAGCACCGAGAGCGGCGTGTAGCCAGGCTCGCGAGACGCCACTGCCGTCGCCGTTTGCACAGGCGGGGCAGGGGCACTCCTCGTCGATTGGTCGGAAGTCGCAGCTATAAGAATTCAGTCGCAGGTTTACCTGTAGGGAGAAGGACGTAAAAACGCGCTCTTTAAAGCACTCAAGAAGTGATCGTCTGTTGCTATCTTTTGCCGATGAGTTTGAGAGTGAGTCCGGAGCGTGGGGTTAGTAAAATACTTGTTCCAACGATTGAACCACCTTATTCTTAGAAAGTGACGTCACAGAAAACGAGGCTGAAACGCGGCAAACAACCATTGGAGCAGAAATTTTCACCTTATATGGCGTCAGCACTTAGATGCGTGCCAACCGGGGGGCTAGATGGCCTAACATTTGAATCCTAATCAGCAAGATTGATAAATGGAGTTCAACATTCAGCCGCTGAACCTGCTTGCACTCATGTGGGCAGTAATCACTGCTGACTTAGCCGGCACTACCTATCAGGTTGGCCGAATCACGAATCACGGCCTCGCATCGAAGCCTGTCGGCGGTAAACTGCCAAAGGAGTTTCAAGCAACACCGACCAAAGACTGTGGGATCAGAGCAGCGCTCGAAGTTGGCCTACAACACATTTGAAGCTCGCTATCTTGGTGACTCGGAGGACATTACATCCCGAACGGTGTTGTCTTCAGGATCAGCGTGACTTACGGCCGAAGAATCTCACTCAAAAAGCATGGAGTGCGCAGTTGATGGTTTGTGCTCCTGACCAACCGTACAACTTTCTGAAAGACGGACTTGGAGTGTGGAGAGCAAGCATCACAAATCAAGTATTTCCCCCCAGCAGCGGGCACCTTCTGCGAACACAGTCAGTGTAGAAGGATTTTATTCGCCGACTTAGGGCGGCAACCGTACAAGGCCTCAAGTAGCCACGGTCTACCCAAACGAGTACGCGATTCAATTGGTAGAGCACTCGACTCAACAAACGAAAAGTGTCTGGCTCGGATCTCAGGTGTTCCGAACCTGTCCTGGGGATGTGCCCGGCTGGTAACGACCATTTCAGACTCCTTTACCTTTACCTGTAATCCCAATTTAACTTCAATAATCAATGCTCAGAGATAGGGCAAGAGAAAACCACCAAAACGAGGGTGGGAACGAATGACGTTGCTAGGATGTTTTTACCTGCCCCCAACGTACGAGCGCTTGTCCGAAACGGGCTGTGCGGGTGGGGAAGACGCAGTCGAACATGTCACAGCCCAGAGCTGCACAGACAACCATATCAACCGGGAAGCCGACGC